TTGTGTAGTAGTTTTAGAAGTCTAATTTTTTTTGAGATTGTTTTTACATATGTAGATACTAAGGTATGTATGTGATTCTAAAGCAGAACGTGATTAACATATTAGATTCTGTCTGGTGTGAAGATGCACAGTATATTAAGATTTCTATCACACCTTATTAATAGACAGATGCTGATTAGAAAAACGAAACAGCGAGTTGAGAAACTGAAGAAAATATATGGTTTTAACATCAAATATCTGACAAAATGGCAAAGGATTACAAAAAATTGAATCGAAAATTAAGTCTTTAATCAAAACCACAAGGTACCATAGGAAAAAAACTTCTTATAAAACTACAACACATCAAACGAACTGATTTTACTTGGGAAATAAAAATTGAATCAGGTTATTAAAAAAAATTTTAGGTCTATTTCCACACTCTTCTTGACAATTAAGACCTGAAGAGTTAAAGGAGGATTTTATCCATTGAATATTGTTTTGAAAAATCTTTACATATATTTTTGGATATTTTCATACATATTTTCTGCACGTTGTGAACGATTTGGTTTGGCTTTATCGTTTTGAAGAATGAAATTGTCTTCCATATCACACAAAAAGACTTGAGATGAGATTTAGTTTCAATCTGGGCCACTGCCAATCGGCTTCTCCTCCGCAAATCCAAAGGTTTCTTACTTGGTGAAACTAAAATTCAAATATTTCTCTACAGAGCTTTTTACAATGTATTATATATTAAAGCAGACAGATTGATGAATTTACCGACAATTTGCATTCCACGACCTGTCGTCCATAACGGCAAATATCCTTCGCGAATTAGTTTCTAATACTCGGAACATGAGTAAATAAATAAAGCAGAAAGACGTTTGAGATTTAATATCAATTCACTGTATTTCTCTCCAGTCATCTCTATCTATCTCCTTTCTCTGCCAAGCAAATATTCCCATGCCTTCATCGATTTTATCACAAGATAAAATTATACCCTTGTTCTGGGTTATCCTTTTCTTTTCTGACCAATGGGTCTATTAAAGAGCGTTTTTCTAGCTGGATCAGTTTTTTCCATCCTCATTACATATCCTACCCACCTCATATGTCCTATCTTAATATATTTTATGATATCTGGTTCCTGGTATATTCTATAAAGTTCGAAGTTATATTATCTTTTAAATACTCCATTGTCATTTTTGCCAGATATATTCACCTTAGACTGTTTACCGTTCCTCATTTGCTATAGAATCCTTAGTAACCAACATGTACTTGGTTTTGTCTTTGTTAATGACTAGATCGACCTGTTTTGCCGCCGTTTCCAATTCTAGGAAATATTGCTCAACATCTCGCCTGCTGTGCCCTATTATGTTAATGTCATCAGCGATGTCAATGGCAGTGTTTCGGGCGGCCTTTTCCAATGCAATGTTAAATACTAGGCAAGCCAGAGCATCCCCTTGTCCGAGTCCATCCTTTATCTCAAAGGATCGAGAATTTTCTCCCTGTATACTAACGCTGGCTTTTAAGTTAGACATTGTCACTCTCTTTAATCAGATAAGTTTTACTGGTATACCAAACTTACGTATTGATTGTTAAGTACTGTTCTCTTGACACTGTAGTATGCAGCCTTGAAGTCGATGAATAGGTGATGGTTTTCAATGTTAAACTATTCTTTATTTGACCTCTTAGCCTAAAGATCAGAAGTCGTTTTTAAATTACAATTTGTAAAATTGAAATTAGGAACCAAAATGTTTAGTGATTCTGGTTTATTCTCAATTGCATAATTAATAAGAAATAAAACATGATTCTTTACTATTTTTTGAATGATTGCATTTTTTTAGTCTCAGGTTAACCTTTGATTTGACCAGTGATAGTGCTATTTATTTATTTAATCCTACCTGTATAGGATGCAACTTAAGTACAGGTACTCTTATAGAAACGAATTATACATTTTATTCTCCAATGTATTTAATAATTTACAATACTAATCTATATATACATGTTTCCAGGTCAGCCTTAATGATGGAAATGGAAAAGTTTGGCATTAATAGAAAAAATCGGTAGTATTGGAACACTGTGATTGGGAAAGCTAGTGAAGTTCCTTATTGTACATTTTAAGTTTAAGTAAGAAATGTTCTATATTTTTAAAAGTTTGTAACTCGCTTTACAGAATCCAATTATTGTGATTATATTTTTAAATAATTAAATTTGAGAAGTATTTTCATTTTTCTCCACTGTTTCCTTTTCTTCTACCTTTTGAATGGAAAATCCTTTTATTCTATATACCTCTGCACCTTGAAGATTTAATGTTTTAATCCATTGATGGCCTACAAAAATATTATCGAAGAATTATAATCAACTAAATGATAAGATGGATGCATTAAGAATATTTAATGTTGTCTACTAGAACATTTGATGAATTTGATGTTTAAGAAAGGTGGAAAAAGCTTAAATATTAGATAAACTTGGAAAAAGGAAAGATGAATATTTTGCACTTGTGTTTCTATATTAATTATTTACTATTTTTATTGAGAATTGACCACAAATTCAGTTTAAAATATGTTTATTTTGAAGACATTTCAATGTTCACTTTGGAAATCATTCTCTAATTATGAATTATGGCTATCATAGTAAATTCTGAGCTTTTTGATTATAAAAAATTGTTTAACAAACACAAATGCATACATCAATAGAAAATGAACATATATACTTATTTCCAATCTTAATAAATATAATATTAGAAAAGGAGTAATATCAAAACACAGTACTTAAGTACAAAGGAAAGTGTGATAAAAACTTGTACGAGATAAATAAAACTAAAAAATTACAGGAAAATAAAAACATTTATCAGAAATAGCAAATAAAATTGAAATGGATAACATTATACAAATTAAACTTACAGTGAAGTAAAAAACTTTAAGTGTAAAATGGTATGATTTAAAAATTTAATAAAAAATTAAATGTTTCCAAATGGGTTAAAGTTTTCATCAGAATATTTTCAGTCTTATCAAACCATCATCAGTGAAAACATAGTTAGCACTTAAATCTAGCTACTTACAAAGGTTTAATAACCTGATCACATTTTAAATGTGTTGGCTCGTATCTTCAATACTTTTTGAGTACAGATCAGTTTGTTCCCTTTAGTTAAGTCTGCACTGTGACCCTGTAATTAAAAGGTTATTGCACCTTTTTAAGTGGCTATTTTCAATTGCTAACTATGTTTGCACTTATGATGGTCTAATAATACCAAAAATATTCTAATGAAATTTTAATTTGTTTGTAAATTTCAATTTTTGTTAAATATATACCATTTTACAGTAGAAGTACAACAAAGTATAAAATATAGAAATTACAAGGATGAGAGGATATGGTACAAGAATGAAATACTCTTGTTTTATAACACAAGACAGAAATATTACTTCAAAAATAGCGTTTCCCCAGTTTCCTTGATTTTTACCCAAATACTACTGAAATATGATAAACTGTAATCATCATAAATAGTACACTACATTCCCAAGTGAATGCCACACTTCTCTCTTAAAGAAGACAATTAGAATTACATAATATACTGATGTAAAAATACAAGTGATATTATTAGATGTAAAAGTACACTATGAGAAAAAGTGCAGGAACTAAAACGTTAATTATATTTTTACACACCTGGAGACATATTCATCTCTTCCTCTGTCTTTAGACCATAATAATCTGCCCAATCTGCTTTACCTTTGTATATCATATAACCTACAAAACCAAAAGCATTCCAAGCTATAACAGCGTACACTATAGATAATCTTTGTTTCCATAATGCTGCCCTGTTTTCAGGAATTTCATGTGTATTCCTCCTAACAAATCTTCTTAACCAGTTAAATCTAAATAATGACATTTTGTTTACATTTGTCTAACCTAACCAAGTTTTCTTTTTAGGTTATATAATTTTAAACATTTTCTTCTTCAGTTCAAAATTTATTTTATTCACTGATTGTCAAGCTACAGGCACAAATTAATATTCAATCAGAATAATATACAAAAATAAATTAAACAAATATCAAAAAGCTACATGTTTTTAACATGAGTTTAAGTAGAGAAAATATATTTCTACAGTATCGTAAATTGATGTGAATAGTTTTTACGTCAATCAATAATATAGCTATTATAACTCGATGATATAAAAAAGCCATCTAAACAAATACTGGACAACATGAGTCTGTTATTTTTCTCTTAATTTGCATATAATGTGTTTTTGTGTTTACTATATTTGTAGACTAAGCGCCATTGGGTTGTATGTTAGTTTATAGCATTGACGTATTATATAAAAAACTAAATCAGTTTATAAAAACAGTTTATAAATCAGTTTATAAAAACAGTTTATTAAAAAGTCAGTTTATAAATTGGTTTATAAAAAACTAAATCAGTGCGCCACAATGAATGCTATCAGTTATACACTTTATCAGCTGTATATAAAACGTCAAAAAATAAAAGCAAATACTAAGAGATAATAGATGTCATTTGTAGAGGTAATAAATTTAAAACTTAAATTTTTGTTATTTTATTTATTATTTAGTTACATCTTCTAATAAAGTAATATTAAGTAAATACTGTCCAAAAATATTAAATGCTTTTTATTACAAAATGAAAACTATTTAACACGTTGGCAATCTTAAAAATTAAAATATTGCTCTAATTATCCACCTTCTATAAATAAAATCGATTTCTATAAAAAATTAGGCCTTAAAATGTCACTCAGATGTAACATTCACCATTCTATTTCCATCACTTGTCTTGTCATTTTCTAATTTGACTGACAGTAAAAGAATATGGCAATATTAACTTATCAATTTTAAATTTCTATTGTAACAAAGTTCATAAAAACATTCAAAATGTAAGTATAATTACATTAAAACTACATAAATGTGTTCTATAAATGAATTTCTTGTAATCTTATTTTTTGTTAATGAGCTGCTACTATTTAATTGTCGGTGTTTTTTTAGTTTCAGTGCTTATAGAGAAACTTATTACAAAAAATGAACAAATCTTCGTATGAAATACTAGATGATAATTTATTATCGTCTCCATCACAACAAACTAGCAGCAGCAATAGCAGTGTAAGTAGCTGTTCAAATGAATCCCTTAAAACCCCAGAGAAGAAAATAAATCAAGCAGATGAACAAAAAATGTAAGTCATATTTACTTATTATTTAATGAGTAATAATTATTTATTTTAAACGTTTGTTAACCGCGCTACAAAATAAATGTAATTTCTGCAATTTTCCTACTACTAGTGTTTTTTAAGCAACTTAAAATTGGAGCAAATCTCAAAGGTTGCCCAGATAAGGTCCTTAAGTTCATCATGAGTAATGTTTTACTTCCCAGTAGTTATAATAGGTTTTTTACTTTCAGTACTGCTCTCTTGCCGACAAATATAATCTAGAGAAATTAAGATAATCCAAGCACTGGTGATACATAGGTCAGATTGTTTTCTAGGGTGAATGTAAACTTCGTAGACTTACATACCATAAGATTTTTTTACTTTGAAATTGAATTACAGGGTTTTTGCTATTTCAATTTAGTAAAAAGATAGGTTATCAAGGAATGGTTTTAAATACAATAAATTGTTAATTAAAATAAGTATTTGGCAAAAGTTTTGATTAACAGTTATAAATCTCGAATTGTATGGTAGTGATTTATATGCCCTAATTCTTGACTAATATAATTGAGATAATGTACAACATAATGCAAGCAATGTTTTAGCTTTTACTGCCATAATGGAATAGGTTGACATAAACAAGTACTTTGTTAACTTTTTATTATTTAATGTTTTTAAAGTAGTCAGAAAGTACTCAATTGTTACTAAAATAAAGAAAGAAGGTAAACTTTATCAAAATTATTGTATTTAGTATTAAAAAAAATAGTTTAATGTACATATATTAATTCTGTAAATTGACTGAAAGACTTTTCTCTCTCTATACCATTATGACCTAGATATTTCCTTTTGGTAACTGTAGTATACAAAAAGTTAGTTACTAATTATGCTCATACTTCATATAGGTTGTTAAAATGTATCCACATTTTGGACTTCGTTCAGGCAATTTACCAGTTCAATTGGAGTTATATGTTGTTTTCTGAAACATTGAAAAACCAAAAATCGATCATCTCGTGTGGATGTTGTTCTTCTATGACCTGGTCCTGATCTTCTAGTGTAGTTCTCTTTTTGAAAAAACTGCAGAATGGCTTTTTAAATAGCCTAACGACTTACACTTATCACGTGGGCTGCATAATATAGGCTACGACCATCTTGTATTAACGCCACAGCTCTTACAACATCCCATTGTAGTGAGAATGGATGCAGAAAGTAGTGGAAAGGCCACGAAAAAGGTGGGAGGATGATGTTGCAGCGAATGCGCAAAATTTGCTACAGGTGAGAATCTGGACATGAAAATCAACTCGGAACCAGCAAGGTTAAAGGCATAGTTTGGAGGAGGCCAAGGCTCGATTTGGAGGTATAGTGTCATTGTATGCTGTTTGTGAAAATTATTGTGTAGTGTGCTTATCTGAAATTATTCAGATATTCTTCTTATTCTCTAGGGGCGATAAGACACACACATGTCTAACACCTGTCTTTATCACGTCTTGGCTCAGCTGTTTGACCGACACGATTTTTGTTGTTTGATTATGATATAAGTTGCTGAATATTATAAGATCTCTGTCATAGATGCTAGTGCTCTTTATGTAAATGGAAAAGTACTTAGGTTACAAAAATAATATAATAAAATAGAGAACTCTGCCAGCGGGCTTAGGACTTCAATTTTCGCGTTCATGCCCACAGCCGGCTCCAAGCCCGGATAAAAGAGGAGGGTTGATGGGCCAGGTTAGCATCCTACCCATTGTAAAAGAAAACAAGGCTCAAAGAACCGATCTAAAGTCTCGGCACCAGACGGAGCCCAAGATGACGAACCACGCAAAGAAAAGGAAAACGAGAAGGAACAATAAGCCCATAATCATATTAGCAACATGCAACATTACTTCTTTCAAAAACAAAGACCAAGAGAGAATAGAAGAACTGATAAATAAAAACATAGACATTTGTGCAATCCAGGAAGCCAAGAAGAAAGGTAAAGGCCAAAGAGACTATAACCAATTTTGTCTAGCATACAGTGGAGTGAAGAAAGAAGAACGAGCACGAGTAGGCGTAGGTATACTTGTCTATAAAAATTTAAAGACAACCTAAATATCTGCCGTTATAGCTCCGAAAAAATAATACATATAAACATCACAATGGACTACGAAAAATTAAATGTCATGCCTATCTATAGCCCCGAGGACGACAAACCTAAGAAGGAACGAGAGGTATTCTACAAACAATTGCAATCCATGAAGAATCCTTAATTCTTATGGGTGACTTTAATGCATGAATCGAAAATGAAATAGTTCCAGGAGTAAAACAAAGATTTAATGAAAACCATTTCAACGCAAATGGAGAACTCATAGCTAATCTTTGTGCTTTTAACGAACTGAGAATCAATAATACATGTTCCGACTATAGCTCCAATATATATACCTATATATTTGAAAACTCCAGGGGGCACAAATCTATGATTGACTTTATAGTCACTAATAGAAAAATCCATCCAAGGCAAATTCTAGATATCCGAACCTTAAACTCAGCAGACGCAGGGAGTGAACACAAACTAGTACTAGCAAAAATAAGAATGAAAATAACACCAAAACATTTTCTACATTAAATCACTGAAGAAAAATTCAATCAAGAATCACTGTGGAACGACTCTACAAGAGAAGTATAAAAAAGGAAGCTAGCACAGAAGATACAGCTGAAACAAATAGACGACATCGAAGATATAAACGCGAGCTGGGAGAAAATTAAAAACAACATTGAAGAAGCAGCAACAGAAGCTCTAGTACAACGCAAAGTCATACTGAACAAAAGAAACAACAATAATACACCATCGTTCAGAAAAGAAATTAAAGAGAAGTGTAAAAAATGAACACTGGGAACAGCTTACAAAAAGGATGGAAAGCGACTTCTAAGGTACACAAAAACAATTATGGAGATTCATAAGAAACCAACGGAAAGAAATGGCAGAATTGAAGGAATACAATAACATACCAGCAAACGAATGGGAAATATACCTGACCGAACTGTTTAAAGCAAAGGAAAATAATAATCAACACAATAACGTACCTGAATTAAGACACGAAATAGAAATCAGTTTTCAGGAAGCAGAGATAGCCATAAATTCACTCAAAAATAGAAAGTCACCAGGACAAGACGGAATAACCAATGAACTTCTAAAACACGGAGGAGAAAATATAACCCTAGAGATAACAAGACTTATACAAAAACTAATATTGCAATGCAAGATACCAGACGAATGGAGAAATAGCATAATGATACCAATGTTCAAGAAAGTATAAATCTACTGAACTTCGCACTTAAGCTTACCACAAAAGTCCTAACCAACAAAATCAATAAAATAAGAACTTTATCAGATGAACAAGAAGGATTCAGATCCGGAAGATCCTGCGTAGACGCCGTTTTTTACTAAGACAAATAACAGAAAAGGCCATCGAGTAAAATAAACCAGCATATCTATGTTTTATAGACCTGACAAAGGCTTTCGATCGCATCCAAGTCGAAGACGTCTTACGCCTACTGTATAAAAGATACATACCAATCAATATTATACAAACCATCGAAAACATCACTTCCACAATCGAATACAGGCAAAGATAAATGGAAAACTAACACAGTGTGTCCAAGTACAAAGCGGAGTCAGACAGGGTGACTCGTTAAGCCCACTTTTCTTTAATATAATAATGGTCGAACTAATACAAGCAGTACCTGAAGGCTATGGTTACAGAATACAAAAAAATCCAAATATTAGGTTATGCAGACGACGCCGCATTAATCGCCGAGACAGAAGACGAGCTCCAAAGATTAACACATATCATCATCTAGTACCGTCATTATGTTTTATTTCTTTACTCCGTTTGGGGTGCCAGAAATTGAATTTACTACGAATTTTGACCATGATGAACGACATTTGGAATGCAATCTTAGATTCCCTTGCTGATTTATTCATCAAGCTGTTTGCTTTGCAAATTTTAGAAAGCACGGTGGTTAAGATTTGAATTCGATTTCGCCAGGTAGAAATCGTATGATTTCTCTTTTTGTTTTTATTAACACACATCTTCAATACAACAGCCAAGAAATACAATGTGATAATATCAGCAGAAAAAACTAAATGTATGATAACATCTAAATACCCACTACGATGTAAAATCGAAATTGATGGAAAAATTATAAAGTTTAGTTTAGAAATATAGATTTAATAATAGCAAGGTTTAGATATTTGGGAATAGACATTACGAGAATGTTGAAGAAGTACGACAACAAAGCTTAAAAGCAAGTAAAGCGGCGGAATCCCTTTATGACACAATCTGGAAGAACAAACACCTAAGACTAGGCACAAAAACAAGAATCCATAAAGCAGCAATTAGACCTATATTAACATATACAGCGGAGACAAGACCTGACACATCTAAAACGAGACGACTACTAGAAACAACAGAGATGAAAATACTTCAACGAATATCAGGGAAAAGTCTGTTGAATAAGAAGAGAAGCGAAAACATAAGAAGAGGATGCAATATAGAAGGCAAAAATGGATGGGTGACAAAACGGAAACAGGAGTGGAACGAACACATTAGTAAATTGGCAGAGGATAGTATAGTAGGAATAGCACGATATAAGTCACCAAATGGACGAAGAAGTATTGGCAGACCAGAAAAAGATGGTCCGATAATTTAAACAATCTAGGAGGCTAATATTGAAGAAGAAACAGGCTTTAAAGCCTAGATACAAGAAGGAATAAGAAGAAGAACAAAAATATAGTAACTTTTCGTAAAAAATATTGTTAATGTTATAATTTATAAATTATATGTGAGCATATGTAAGCTTATTTTAAATTTATTTTAGAAACTGTTATTATATAGCAATAATTCGCTAATTTTTGATTGCTTTGAGCGCAAAATTTGATTTGTAATATAATTTTTTATTTTCTTTTATCCAAAAATAGATGAAGGGCTCGGCTGCAACGCACGCACTATATAATCATTGTAATGTTAATTCAGGGTCGTGTTTAATATGCGTAATAT